TAGGTAGTTGGTTAATTTATGATTTATGGTTATTAAGTAGTTTAGATTAGATTTTACGTTTATAGATAATCAGTTACAAATTTAATAATATTATTCTTTTAAGAACAAAATATTGTCGTGTTGTCCACGATGTCCGGTTTCCAAAAAGAAATAACCGCCAGTACGTTCGGACCGGAATTGACACGAAAGGTTGTAACACATCCTTCGTTCAAAACACTGATACATTCGAACGAAACGTTTGATTTGATTATATTTGAGAGATTTATGAATGAAGCCTTATTTGGACTATCACATCGATTCAATGCTCCTTACATAGTACTTAGTACGATTGGATATTCGAGATGGACCATTGAAATGGCCGGTAACCCTGGATATACCGCTTACATTCCTGATTTATATTTACATTACGCCAGTAGCATGACATTATGGCAAAGATTCCACAACACATTCTTTGATTGTTTTGTCAAGCTATACAGACATTTCGTCGTACTTCCGAAGCACAGAAGCATCTTGAGGGAGACATTTCCAAATGCCCCTTCATTGGAGGATTTATATTATAATGCGTCTTTAATCTTTATGAACACCCATGTCAGTATCAAATATGCGGTACCATCTGTTCCAAACATGATTGAAATAGGTGGATTTCATGTTAGTCCTCCCAAACCATTATCCAAAGGCCTGAAGGAGTATATGGATGATGCCTCCGATGGTGTTATTTATTTTAGCCTAGGATCAATATGTCAATCAAAAGATATGGCTCCCGAAACAAGAGATATTATTTTACGGGTATTTTCGAAACTTAAACAGAAAGTTGTTTGGAAATGGGAAGACCAAAATAGTACATTTACCTTGCCACCTAATGTGAGATTTGAAAAATGGGTTCCACAGCAAGATATATTAGGTAAATAGATACATATAAGATGAAGTAGGCTTATCTAACACCTATTTGTAGTAGCATTTATATTAAAAGTGGTCAGAATTTTCACCCATTTTGTAATTAATTTAAAGTTGTTGTTGATCACAAACAACAAACGTAGGTAGAATTTCACAGAAATTCACATCATCATTATAAGGTTATCAGTCCTAAGACTGTTTGGACACGCACGTCCACTTTTTCCTGTCCCTGGCTAATCTTCGCATTTCCCTAAAACTATAACATTCCACATTCTTAACTATTTGTGACAAGTAATCAAATCTAGATCTACATGTACTCCTAACTCCTGTTTCTGCCTGTAATATGTCTCTGACTAGATCTACCAACCTATCTCGCCTATTTTATATTGACTTCCATAGAGTCCTCTGTTCTCCTATTCTTTCTAATGACTCCTCATTTCTAACCTTCTCTATTCGCGGTAACAACACATTTCGAACGCTTCTAACTTTCCTCTTCCATCGCGCCCACCGTCCATATTTCGCACCCGTACAACGCCGCGCTCCAAACATACACCTTTAATAATCTTTTCATAATTTTTTTACTACTCCTTCCGTCCTGTCTTATCTAACTTCCAAGATACCTAAAATCACATCTTGACAAACACTAAAATCATCGTAACGTAAATTCATTGTAACCACCAACACATTACATAAATTAGTTGCGTTTGATGATTTCAATGTTGATGGAAATTTTTGTACAATAAATAAAAACAGATTTTTGCGGAAATCTTCTAACTTCAATAAATAACTTTCTGTTTAAAAGTAGTTTGTTTCTATTTTAGCACATCCAAATTTAAAATTATTTATCACTCATGGAGGTTTGCTAAGCATTATAGAGGCAATTTACCATGGTGTACCTCTCCTAGTCATACCAATTTTTGCGGAGCAATTTATGAACGCTGCAGATGTTGAATCGCTGGGCTATGGTTTAAAACTTTACTATACGCATATAACTGAGGAGAATTTCAGTTATCTTATAAATGAATTATTAATTAATACTAGGTAAGTATAATTTGAATAATAGACGCATAATAGAAACTGTATGTATAATGTTGAAAATTATAATATATCGAATACTACTCATATAGTTGGATCACAAGATATCAATGCAGGTTTATGTTTATGGGAATGTATGGTACATAGTAGATGTCAGTGGCAATTTAAATTTTGTAGACGCGACTAGCCAGTTTCAGATACTACATTGTCAATTTTGTCCATAATTTCCCTAGACAAATATTTTCAGTCTCTCTCCAGTCTCTCACAGTATTTCACAGTCTCTCAGTTATTGCCTAGGTGTTTTTACGGATCTCTCACAGTCTCTGTATGAGAGAGTCGAACGATAAAATTGTTAATTCAGAGATTTGAGTCTCTTACAGAGAGACGGAATGAATAAAACTGAAAATTAAGAAATTCGAGTCTCTCGTAGAAAGACTGGGATCTCTGAATTATGTTGAACTTAGAAAATTTTAACCATATCTATCGAGACACCACTTGTTGAGAGATTTGAGTCTCTCGTTCAGAGATTCGAGTCTCTTGTTCAGAGACTAGATACGAAATGAAAATTTCTCTATGAGCGACTCGAGTCTCTCGTTCAGAAACGCTAAACAGTTTTTTTGACAGTCTCTCGACAGTCCCTCTCAGCGACACCAGAAAGACTCGATGAGAGACGGAGACTCAAGTCTCGCTTTCAGAGACTCTGAGAGACTGAACGTTTTTATCTCGGGTTGATTGGTTCTTTCAAATTTTGTGTTGTTGAGCGTATTTCAACACTCGAAAACAATTTATGGAAAGTAACGCAAACTGCACCTTTTCCACAAAAATAAATAAATTAATCAATACAATAAATTTTTGTCTAGGCTAAATTTTAAAATAGAGACATAATTCACGTAATTCTAACTAGGTATAACTTTTTTGTAAACATATGTTTTTAGCTTTAGCTTTTAAATATATCGTTCTTTGGATCATTTTAAGCATATAGTTTATGAACGTGTAGAGGGATGGAAGCTAATACATCTAATTTTTCATTTATCTTTAAGAAATCATTTTTGTTTAATTTGAAACACTTTAATAGGATAGAATAATAGAATTGTAAGATATTGAGTGTGCACAACGATTTACTAATGCCTACGATTAAAAAGCACCAAGCCCTAATGGTATTAAAATTATTACTTTCGCTTTTGAATTCAAGAAAACTTCGAAAAGAACTATAAAACTATTATTCAAATTGCATCAGAAAACTTCGTTTGATTGTAATTAACTTACAAATAAATTTTATTTGTTACAGATACAAGGAAAACGTAAAACTTCGATCTAAGCTTTTCCATGATCAAGAGACAAAACCTATCGACAGAGCCTTATGGTGGATTGAGTATGTTATTAGATATAAGGGGGCGCCACATTTGAAATCTGTTACCTTAAATTTAAAATGGTATCAGTATTTTCTATTAGACGTTTTAGCGCTGGCTATTATTTTAATTTTATTTATAGTTGTACTTATAGTAGTATGTCTGAAACAATTTTGTAAAAACAGAGGAAAATCAAAAATTGATTAAAAAGCGCTGCAATTTGCTTTTCTGTATCAGACGGTAACGATTTATTTGGTAACCAAAAAAGTCGTCATATACATATACACCTTTGGTAGTAAAAATAATAACTATTTTGTTTCTCACTACAAGTACCTACATATATTCAGAAAACTGTTGTTATATATATATGTTACTCTTTGAGTATAAGTGTGAAACTATTTTAAATAATAAAAAAACAAACGTTTTAAATGTATTTGTTTATATTTCAGTATTCGGTGTCTTTTTTGGTTCAAAAGTAACAAATGAATGTATAAACACAAAATACTTACGAAGTAACTTACCAATCTGTTTCCTCATCTGTAATGATTAGAGGTATATTTCTCTGTTTTCCAAATGTAATACCTATATTAAAATTTTCATTAAAACTATGTGCAAATGTATGTAAATTTTATATTTCTCTATTAAAACTACTTAAATGTTTGTTTATTTAATCTTTAAACCAGACTGTCCTAATTATCCTCTTTAAAACAAAAAATCGAATCAGCTGATGCAAATTTGAATGACCTTTAGATCGAACTTATTGAGAAGATTATTACGGTGCCTGCTTCGGTTTGTATCGATTTACAGATTACAGAGAAGCTTTTCAATTTATATTTACAATAAAAACATATTCAGAACTAGACTGGATGCCGCTACGGATTTTCGAATTCAATTGTCGGACATTAAACCTAATTTTAATACTATTATAAGTAAAAATGTGTACATTAAATACGTGCAATAAAGATCTTGAATTCAAAATTTAAGTTGAAGGTTACAATTTGTACAGGGGTCTTAGATATACAACTATGATCAAGTTTCTTTTTTGTCAAGATGGGATTCCGCCCAAAAAGGGGTGGGTTAGAAGGGGTTCCATAGCAAAATAAAATTAGGAACCGCTGTTCTAAACTATATTACGGTCAAACAAATAGACTTTGTGAAAATTATTACAAAAATCATACCATTCCTATATAAAACCGCCTTTTTGGAGCATTCCTTTGTACTCCTGCTTAGAAACAGGGCTATGAATTCCTTATCTGACTTTGAGAATAATTTATTTGTTAATAATTACAATCTCACAAAAGTAATCTTGCCTTTTTTCTTATTTTTAATACCTTCAATTTTTTAAATTATGGTTCATCTTTGTTTTTGAATTACTACATTTAATCCTATTGTAAACGTTTAGTATTAATTACACCACGCGTTTTTTAACTTTCATCTATTTATCATTTTATCTAAACAATCCTGCTATCTTTTTAATTGAAGTGCATTTTTAATTATTTGTTCTGTTTATTATTTTATCTGTAGGTATGTGCGTTTTTGTGTATTAATATCTCCTTTGAAAATTAATGTAGTTTTGTATGTACACGCCGAATTATTTAGAAGTACTTCCAACTTTAAAAATCGAGTAAGTTAATAGATTACAAAGTTTTCTATTTACGACGTTTGTAGTCTTAAAACTCCCCCCTCCATCTGGGGTGAAACGTCGGTATAACTTTGTAATTAATAAAAATCTTCTATCAGTTCTCTGTTAGTCATTATTTGTTAATGGTTAATTGAAATAAAATAGAATTACAAACTACTTTTTTGTTCATAGTTTTCAAGAGATGGCACCAATCAAGAATTACTGCATATAACAGATAAAATAACCCTATGCTCGGTTACCAAGTCGCCATTACTGTATGAACGAGAGAGAAGATGGGTGTAATTGGACAGTTCCTACTCGACAACGCTACTGTATTATAGGATAGGATGCTGTTCCAGGCATTTATTCTCCAAAGATATAGCGGATCAGTTTAATCAAAGTATAGCACCTTACTAATTTAAAAATGAAAGTGTTTTGGTTTATATTGTGTTTATTATTGACATTTTTTGATTACGCGATTGGTGCAAAAATCCTTGCCGTTTTTCATGCACCGAGTTTTAGTCATTACATTTTAGGTGTAAAGTTACTCAGAGCTGTTGCAGAAAAGGGACATCATGTCACCATGATTAGTCCGTTTCCACTAAAAAACCCGCCAAAAACATGGAGAGATATCGTACTTGAAGATCTTACAAAAGGATTTAGTTTTGGTATGTAAAAAAAGGTTCTTATAAATGACATTCTTCAGAAGTATTAACACATAAGAATAATTATAAAAGTAATGTATCACATCAAATGATTTTGGTATCGTTCAAAATATTTTTGTTTCATTTTTACCGTGGTTGACGCCTATTTTATAATAATTCTATAAAATTGACGACAGAAATCATACGATACAGTTAGGAGAGTTATCTATATAAATCCGTTCAAATCGGGGAACTGGAAGTCCAAATCTTAAATATATACCTTCTTCATCATTAATGTTTTTTGACAAAAGAAGTTGCACCGCCAAATCATACCTGTATTAGGCCCAGGAACACACATTTAATTTTTTGCGTAAAGTTCTGTTCCTAGATGATCAGCATTGTTCAGGTGATGTGTATAATCGTATTTTTGAAGGTGCTGGACGAATAATAATTGATTCAAAAGTATAAGAAATGATATAACTGCTTCATTCGCCCCTATATCACTCTAAATTACAGCATTGATGGCAAAAGTTTGATCTTGTGAAGTGCAAGTCTTCTTAGTAGGACGTTTGTTTAGCGGATGTATAATATGTTTGGCATTTTTTGTAAAACTACTAGGTCCATCTCTCTATTGTCTACCCTATTACATTCAAGGTTATTATTACACCCGAATTCGTACGTGTCGTATGGGAATTAATGTGATTTTTGGTAATAACATCCAAGAAACAATCGAAAGCCTTACTGCAGTACATATACCATTTTTCTAACCGGAGCCGTACCTAATATTTACGCAGTGTTGTCATAGTTTTGAAGATATTAGTTGTGGTCCAACTCTTCAAGTTGTCAATCCCTTGTCTCTACCCTATCATTAATCAAATTGCTTTTCTTAAAAACGCATTAAATTTTATTAGTGTAAGTTAAATACAGTTTTTTAAATATTAAAAGGCAGACCTAAAGGACCTTATTAATCTGCCATAAAAGCAAATTCTCAGAGAGTATATCATTTGTCAGAAATTGTTAGAACCAAGGAGAGATTTTTTCGCTTTTGTTGTAAATAGATGTGAATAGACATTAACTAAATTATTAACGTCTGCCATTTATATTGTAGGTTAGTTTCAAAATTATTATTTTTTTTATTTAACTTGCCTCGTGTCGCCCAGATAGTGAAAATTAAGGAAGATAATTTAAACAATACAACGGGCAACAAACCACATATCACGGACAATAAACCTAAAGCATATACGACAAATTACACGAGTCACTGATGAAAATACTATTCGAAACAAAACAGTTAGTCGCATAAATGAAATATTGAATTTACATTACTATGAGGTACCTATATCAAACCTTTTTTTAAAATTGAGCACACTCGTCAACTGGTACTATTTAATCAACATTTTCAGGATGCAATTCTAAAATTATATAAAAATGTACTAAACAGTTATACATTATTTAACACTGATTCATGAAAATGATATTCCTTTGGTACATTACAGTTCATGTTGTAATTATAAAAAAAAAATAATACAACGTGTAATTATACAACACGCTACTGAAGTGAAACTTCTTCAAATACACAAACATACCGGATAGGGGTTAAGCAATTGGTTTAATGGTATTATTTGTACACTATGAATATAATTTTTACACTATACATGCCGGAGTTGCCTGTAGCGAACGTTGCATTGAAGCGCTCTCACGGCTCAAGCAATCCCCACTACGAACTCGACTACGTGGCCGAGTAGAGGGGGAACATCCGTTGCATGATTTCGTTACATAGCAACTCGNTCTGGTAGCTTCGATCAATCACTGATCAAAAGCTTAATCCGTTCTTATAATAATATGTATTTAAATTATAGTTTATTCACCCGTTTTAATTGTCTATGAACGTTCAATTTCCTTTATAAGCAAGTAACTGAGAAAACTAGTTTGAAATATCTGTTACTAGAAACTTGATGAATTAACTACTAGAATTAGTATAATGATATGTACCTACATATAATAAATTGCTATAGGTACTTTCATGCCGATGCTCCCTACTCCTTTTTTTCCTTAAGTATAAAACTCATTAGCAGTTCATGATTATAGCGGATCAGTCTAAATAAAGTATAGAAGTTATTTAAAAATGAAATCGTACGTGTTTATGCTCTGTTTATTGACTATTTTTGAATACGCGATTTGTGCAAAAATTCTTGCCGTTTTCCATGTACGGAGTTTTAGTCATTACATTTTAGGTGCAAAACTACTCAGGGCTGTTGCGGAAAAGGGACATCACGTCACTATGATTAGTCCGTATACACTAGAAAATCCTCCAAAAACATGGAGAGATATCGTACTTGACGATTATGAAAAAGGGTTGAGCGCTGGTATGTAAAATATTTCGTTAAAAATGCTATTCTCCATAAAGTTTGGACATGTGTATTTTAAATAATTTTGTAAGCAATCTATCACAACAATCCAATTTGGTACCCTTTAAAATTTTTGTAGTTTATGATTTGCCATGGTTCTAATTTGTATATGAAATTGACGACTGAAATCATATCTTAATTCAAATAACTTCTGTAAAAGCAGAATATATTTATTTTAATTAAATCTAAAAGCAAACTTAATTAGTTTGAATGAACTAAGTACTCTTCGACCAAAAAAAAAGGGTAAACCGAAAAGAGGTTATTAATTTACTACTAAAGCTAATCCTAGGGAACAATTTTATACTATTTTTTCAGATTTTCAGTTAATTCTATTATTGTTTTCTTAATAATTGTTAATTAGAAATAGGAAAATATATATTTCGATTTGTTTATTTAGTTTAGTAGGTACCTGCCTCGTGCCCAGACAGTCAAATAGTTAAAATTAGAGAAGATAATTTAAAAATATATTATGGGCAATAAACTATAATGTCTGAAGCATTTACAATACACTACACGTGTCGCTAATATCATTCTAAGCACAAAGTTAGTCATTTGTATGAAAAATGAATTTACACCGCTTTAAATATTAGGTATTAGATACAAGTATTAAATCTTTTCGTGCGCACGCTCGTCTGAATTTTATTTGATTAACGTCTTAAGAAAACAATTCCATTATCTTTTATTAATAATTATCACAGAAATTAAACATGTACGAAACATTAATGAATTATATAATTAACACTAGCTTATGAAAACTTACCTTTTTTTGATTGAGACTTTTAATTTTTTAAACTTTAAAGTAACCCTTTCATATTGAAATACAAAAATTTAGAAAATAATGACTCAAAAATTCCATTCTCTAAAAATAAATCTCTAGATATTATCGGTAATTATTAGTGAATATTCACAAATCACAGATGTACCAAATAACATCAATGGAATTAGTGAATATTAACGGAATTAGTAATTAGTGAATTGAAAATACTGAACTCAACTAATGAAATTAGTAAAAAATAAATATATAAACATAAATTCAAAAGAAAAGAAAGAGTAAAATTAACGTGGTCTAGAACCCAGGTCTAATAGACGTGTGGCAGGCTAACCAAAGAATTTAAAAAAATTATCGGAAGTAGAAGGTCACTAACCATATTAATAGAATCACAAAAGCGTCTGGCCCTTTTTACTGATAGAACAGTAACATAAGTAACTAATCACATCAGTACAAAATAACTGATAAATCAGTTAAAAATGTTGGCTGAGAAATATATTGATTACTGCTTTTTATTTGAATGTAACTTATTTCTTGCGAATAATAACTGATTCTTCAGTTACTTTTCATTAGGAAAATTAGTCAATGCTTCACTGGTTACCTTTAGAGAAACAGCACTAATACTTAATGAATTAAAAATGCACTTTTTTTACAGTTCAACCAGTTTGTACTTTTCGTATATCATATTCTAGTATTTAAACATAATAAAAAAGTACAGTATTGTATTAAT